GAAATATCAATGAATTCTAGATGTCTCATTTTGACTCTTCTTTTCCATCAATAGACCGTCAAAGAATTCAAAGTGTTTGTTTATTACTATTAACTACTTCGCGCGATTATAAAAAATAATAGTAGATTAAAATTAATTTTTTATAAATTTAATTGGGATGAAAGAGAAAAGAATACAAAGATTAAAATTTAATTTGGTCAAATAGGTCCAACTTGTTTAAATAGATGCAAAAGTTATTACATAGACATCCGTTGGTGCAATTTTCTAACTTCAAGTCTTGAAGCACCACCCATGTTACAAGATAGTGCAAGTGTGCCAACTTCCATAAATAGACTAACCTATATATGTAAAGCTGATTTGTGGTTCTTGTCAATTTAGCTCTTTTGTTTTTTTTTTTAAAAATGAAAAGAAGTATTGAAGAAAATTTGTGTTACTATTACTTTAGAAATAAATCTCTTAATCTGATATATATTTTGTATATACTTATTTAAGCTTGATTTGTTTAGATTTTTTTCTCCTATTATGAAGAAAATGAAGGATATGTGAAATAAAACTCCATCAAGGGTGTGTGATGGGATGATTGAGATCCTTTCACCCTAATCAAAACCCCCGCTTGAGCTCTTGGAATGAAACTTTTTTGGTAGGAGCATTTACGTCCCTTAGTGGGGTTACTTGGTGTGAATCGGAATTAAGGGGCCATCGACTATGGATATGAATATGATTAAATAAAATAAAAACGAATAAATAAATTTGTACCTGTCAGTGACAATCACAACAATTGGCAAGATTTAAAGGCTGAATTGCCCTCTTTCTGTATCCTCTTTGCTATTCGTAGATTTGAAACTTTGTTACCAAATAGGATGCTAATGGAACCCGTGAATGAATTATACACGGCATCTTATACCAGAATTCTCTAAAAGGCAAACATACCGCTAAAATTTTTTCAAGAGTAGAAATCTTGTAAAATTACCATTTATATGGTCATTGTTGATCGATGCAAGTGGGAGGGTGTCACTGAAATTGAAAGTAGGTTAGAGAGTTACAATAATTCCAGGTATATTTGAAACAGATGAGCAAAACTGTGACCAATAATTAATAAATTTACGCTCGAAAGTAATATGTCCTCGCACATATCCAATGCCTCTATCAGAAGCAAATGTAAATGCAATAAACTTCCTGCCGTCGTCTGTCTTCAAAAAAGCAGAGGGGCGACAACTGAAAGACTTTGAGAAAACATAATCCTCAATGAATCCTCCTTCCACCATTCCTAACATAAATTAGCTACTTTAGATAACAAAACACAACCAAATTAAAATAGAATTAAACTATCATGTAACTCACGAGTCACAAACTCGACATTTTTACTTGGATGTTGTATGAAGCATTTCGAAATATGAGAAAAATGGATTCAATTTAAGGGAAGAGATAGATAACTGATAGGTTAGAAGAGGAAAAGATTAGTAACAGAAAACTCACATTCATTGTATCATTACGATATATTAAGTTTTGTTGAACAATGTAAATAATTGATACATTTAAGCGGAAGAAAAAGAAAAGAAAAGAAGATGCCAAAAAATGGGGAAAAAGGAGGTAAAAGATAAATAACAATGCTGGTTTAGGAGAGGTGCCACCTCTCTATTTTAGTGCCCAACTTTATATAGTTATATAGATTCTTTCAAACCACACCATTTTCAGGACATTTTAATACTACATTTTATCCCCTAGATGGTTGTTATTGTGTTGTATTTGTATTATATTATTACTTAGTGTTTGTTTTGATTGTTACTAAGTTTTATTGTATCATATCGTTTCATTAAATCTAGGGTTATATAACGACGAAAAGTGTGATCACTTTATATAACGACTGATTTGGTGTGATCGCGTTATTACCTTATTTTTTCCTCTCATTTTGTCTTTCCTTATTATTAAATAATCTTATTTTATCATTTATCCAATCTTTTTATTAATAATTCTACCCCATATCCTATTTTTTCGTAATATTTTAAGTTTATTCTATATATTATTGGTGTGTGACATCATGAAATTACAGCAAACAATACAATTTATCCAAACATTATATTACAATATAATACAACATAATACGATATATTATAAAACGATACATAACAACTATAAAAACAAACTGTAAAGTTAAAAGAATTCTTACATATTTTTATTCTATGTGGCCCCTTATAACCTATGGACCTTGCATTTGACCACCCACACAGATTTTTTTTCTGTTTCATTTAAGCTGGGACGGACGATAATAATCTAATGAAAGTTGATCTTGGTAAATTTAGCCTAGGAATTGATGAACTTACATCCTAATTATAACTAATTAACTAAACCTATTTGCGGGTGCCAGTCTAGTTTAACTTAAGTCACTCGTAGGGGTGTACATGGACCGGGTTGGTTCGATTTTTATCAAAACCAAACCAAACCAATTATATCGGTTGTTTTGTCGGGTTTTTCGGATTTTTTTGTTACATGTATATTATTTCAATCTTACTGTATTAAAATTATAGATAAAGTTTTAATAAGTGAATATATGTTTAGTAAATATGGAAAAAATTGACAAACATATGATCTATTAAAATATTCTAATGGGAGAATTTTTTTAGTAACACATGATAGTTATTTTCTTAGTCGTCTAACAATAATTTTTCGTTAATTTACGCTTTCAAGGTTAATACATGAGGGGATCCCAAATATTTCTATATTTTCTAAAGAAAAATCACTATAAAGTCTTAAAAATATAAATAAAATTTATATATTTATATGTCGGTTTGGTTCGGATTTTTTTACTCAATACCAAACCAAGTCAAACCAAACCTAGTCGGGTTTTTTAATCGGTTTGGTTTGATTTTTCGGTTTGGTGCGGTTTTCCGGTTCGGTTTGAACACCCCTAGTCACTCGGTGGATCAACACATTAAACGACGGTGACGATATTCAAGTTTTGAATCGTGACATAGTCACATAGACAATGATTAATTGATGGTAGTCCTAATTTGATAACTAAATATAATTTAGAAAACTTATTCGCAAATATAATACTTAATTATTATCCAAAGACATTAAATAATTTCAGTTCAACGTGAGAAAAATATATATCAAGTCGTCTTTAGACAGGAAGAATCTTCTTGTAGACTACCATATACATATTTTATGGTAGAATTAGTCCTCCAATCGGCCAATCACCTAATTCGATTTTCCTCCTTTTTTCGCCTCTTATTTCTTGGGGGAATTGGCGTGTTGAATTCGAAATGATAGAATATAATAATTCAATTTTGTAAAGCTGGAAGCCTGGAATGATTATTCAATAGCCTCGTGCCAATGTTTTCTAAATTGAAACTCTTTTTGGTTGCGTATTTTCTTAATAATAATAATAATTTTTTTTTAAAAAAAAAAAAAAATTCTTCATCATGGACATTTGTATTTTCCCTTCACATTAACATACCATAATTAATTTTTAGTAATTTGGATTTTGGCCCCACTAAAAGGGAATCGAAGACACTAATTGCCTAAAATGGATGTGATTGGCATGATCCATGATAATCTGAATGTGCCGGCATGGAAAGAAAATGAGAAGGCGCTATAACGCGGCCAAATAAGAAAGAAACAAGACGAATTTATTTTCACGTGTAGTCCTCGAGGTTTCTACTAATAACAGGAAATGTCCCGCAAAATTACGGACAACTCCTTCTACAATTTTATGTTGACCAAAGGCCGTTTATCGAATTAGCTTCACTAGGGGTGTTCATGGTTCGGTTTGGATCGATTTTTTCCTAAAAAGAAACCAAATCAAGTAAGTCGGTTTTTCAAATATTTGAACCAAACCAATTAAGTCGGTTTTTTCTTGATTCGGTTTATGTCGGTTTTTCGTTTTTTTCGGTTATTTGTCGGTTTTTTCTTAAATTAAGACATACACTACCAAACACACATTTTGGCGACCACATTTTCAACGTAACACTATCAAATCAATTGCCCTTTGAGAAATTTATTATTTACCAAGATATATTGATGATAATTGAAACAAATAGTGATGAATAATTTAAGGACTCAATTAAAAATATATTATTTTTAACATGAAATAGATTCTTACACTTAACAAAAGAAAACTACCAATTAAACTAGAATGTAAAGGTAAAGAACTGTACTAAAAGTGCAAACGATTAATATTTACTATAAAAAATTTAAAACTTTGTACAAAAGTATACATATATAGGTGTAATAATAAATTTAAAATAGCTACTCCTATATTCGGTTTGGTTCGGTTTTTTTTAATTAAAACCAAAACCAAACCAAGTTTGATCGGTTTTTAAATTTCAAAATCAAAACCAAACCAAACCAAACCATAAAGTATCGATTTTTTTGATCGGTTTGATTTGGTTTTCGGTTTGATTCGAATTTTCGAATTTTTATAAACACCCCTAAGCTTCACAATTGCTGCATCGGTTCCCTGGACTTTCATTTTGTAAATTTGAAATTGCTAGGTATAACTAGAGTTGTCTGACGGAACAAAATCATCTAATTTTTCTTTCCTGATATTATCGAGTTAAGTATAATACTGAAGTGTCTGTGTATACACCCCTTACCTTCGGGATCGTTTGATAGGGTATATAAGAATAATATTAATTAGGGTGTATTAATATGATTGGAATTAGTAATGTTGAGATTATTTCTTACCGATTATTTGGTTTGGTGTACTAAAAATAACATGCATTGCATAATTATTTAAATAAAATTATTTGTTTACAAAAATACCCTCCAAAACATTGGAAAGGGTTTGAAATCTTTTTGAAAAGGAAATTCTACCTTTATACATGCTTATCCATATGTTAAAAACCATGGTATTACTAATGATATGATTTATTACGTATAAAAATACTACTGATAATAATACCAAAGCTAATACATCCTACCGATAATAATACCAAAGCTAATACATCCTACCAAACGACCGCTGAAGTATATTATCAGTGGCGGATTTTTAGGCAGTGTTCACAGATTTGAACTGTTAAATCTAGCATGTTAGTAACCCTTGAAAATCAAAACTCCAGTCCGCTCCATGACATTTAGACAAGTTAGAATATACACATAAGATGAAGCTAGCAAAGGAATATACAATAAACAGTGATATGAAAGAGGTTGAGATACAGGCTGTTTTGTCTAATTAGTGATTTGTCCCTCCAGCTTGACACTTTCAGAGTTACTACTATTTTCTTGTAACTCACTAACTGCTTCAGCAAATTCAGGAATATTATTTTCCTCATCATTGTCACTGTCATTTGCTGATTTTTCGACGGTTGCATCGATAGCATCATATATTTCTTCAGCAGCTTCAATTTCTTGTCCTGTTTCCTTAAGTATCACTTGGGGAAATCTCAGGGGTTTCTCAGGCCAATCTTTAAAGAAAGAATTCATGGTCATGAACCTAAAGACCTGCAATAGGTGGCGTTTATCTCTCCGAATATCTGAACTCAATAGTTTCTGTAGTAGTGTTGGTTCTCTTGCGGTTTCTGTAACCTGACCTGCAGTAGAAGCGTTTTGATCACGAGTAATTGATGAGTCAGAGTTTCCAAATCTTCGTTTCTTGGAGAAGCGGTCATTTCGATTGAATCTTTCTCTTTTATTGAACTTTTTTTGGAACCTCTCTTTTCTACTCAATGGCCTTTTTTGCTCCCTTCCATCCCCTTGTTTCTCAGAATCCGATAGATAGGATGATGGTATTTCTGCAACTTCACAGCCTAACTCAGCCTGCTTGGCCAGAATTTCCTTAAGTTGCTGCAAGAAGTTAAACTAATTAAGTAATATGAATAGTAAAAGATTACCCACATACACACAGATATATACATAATACATGTATACAGGTCTTTATCGTAAATACAAATTAAAAACTCATGTCTTCAGCAACTTCTGATGGCATTGAATACTACAGAAATGAGGATTATCAACATACCTGACGGCGCAACTTGGCAGCACTTGAACTATCATCAGTCTCTGCCCTTTTCTCTGCCGGCTTCTGCAGCAGCAAATTTATTCTTAAGATATGCCACGTTTCAATATAACCAAGTACAGACATTATTTGAAGTATGCGTAACCAACCTTCTCAAGGTTTGATTTTGAGGGGTAATTCTTACGGCGTTCTTCCCGCCACCGTCGGATTTCTTGGGCCGAATAAGTCACCAAGAGAGACCTTTGCATCCAAGAGTAATATCCAAAGAAAATAAATGAAAACAATAAAACAAAAGGTGAAAATAAAAATAAAGTACAGAAAACAGAGGAAACTTGAATGGATAAGACTTTGAGAGATAGAAGCTTAGAAAAACTAAAGACCAACTGCCAACAGAATGACAAAATCTAAAGATCACCCTTGAAAAACAACAAAAATTAATAGAAGTTGATTATGCTGTTACTTTTTTCAGAACAAAATCCCATCAAAAATAGAAATCATCAAGGAGCCATCCATGCTATGCGAGCCTTCAGCCTTTCTTTTAATAAAGGTGGTATCCGGGTAAACTTGCATGCACACCATTCCATAGTGTACCTGCTACCTTCCACCAACACAGGTACCAGGGTACAGGAGAGAGCATTCATTTTTACGATGACTTTCTCTTTTCCCATGTGACATGCAGAAAAACCAATTTGATTGTTGAAGGGCATTTGATATAATTGAACCATGATTTGGTAATAAAATAGATCACCTTTGACTTTATTGCTAGGCAATCTAAAGAAAATCCTATTTTCCACATCAAACATTTGAAGTTTTTGTCGATCAACTGCTTGAAAACAAACTAATGGCGTCCAATGTCTCAACAAAGAAAAAACATAATCACCACAAACAGACAAGAAACCAGAAAAAGAAAAAACTTTCACACAAAACTGTACTCAACAAAATTCTCAAAAACCGGCTAAACAAATGTTTTTTTTTTGATTTGCACCAGGTGTCCGAGTCTCTAAGAACCCCGACTAATCCCGGGGGTACACAGGCCCTCAGCAAGGAGTTTCCCGCAAGTGCACCACGGTTAATTCAGGTTTTACCCAGTCCGATGGCCCTCAGAAATTGTTTGCACCCCGTGGGTTTCGAACTTGAGACCTTGAAAGGGAGCAAACCCCAAGGCTCAAGTCAATTGCCACCAGGCCAACCCCTGAGGGTTACTGGCTAAACAAATGTTAACAAGACTTTTCGTTCTGCTGCACATGATGCACTATAAGATTACACTAAAGCAGAGAAGTACCTCTTTTTCTCCATCTCGGGTTTCACTGAATTAGCAAGAAAACTTTTTTTCTCCCCTTTTCTGTGATGGCCTGAGAAAAAGGTGAGAATGGAAGTGTTTACTACAAATAACTCAAGAGCAATGTCACGCAAATATACAAATAGAACTGCTGTCCGTCAGAAGCAGATTAACTGGACATGTTGGAATTGACATCTGGAGCTTGTATTTACCATTTAAAACTAAAAAATAAGTTCATGCATGCAGCGCAATCAAATAACAGGACATGCTGGAATTGACAAATCATATAGATGGGTAAGAAGTACAACAACAACAACAACAACAACAAAGCCAGTGAAATCCCACACATGGGGTCTGGGGAGGTAGATCTTACCCCTACCTTATGAAGGTGGAGAGGTTGTTTCCGATAGACCCCGCGATCAAGAAGATGGGTAAGAAGTACATGAGCAAAAAAACAAAAAGAACAGACCTTTTTCTAGGCTTTTACTATGAGGTGAGAACTTCCCTTTGCCAAACTGGGACTTCATAGATCTGCAGAAAAATGGAGATCAGGAAAGGAATAAAATGGATAAAGGCTACATATAGAAAGAACAAACATAAATGAACCACAAGGGCCGAACATACTTAGCGCCATGTTTTTGATTCCTTGAGAAGTTACTATTGTAAGAATTTTGCTGGTTGCCTATTGATTTGTTAAGCCCACCAACACCTTCAGGGTTTGCCTGCAAAATAGTTCTAGAGCTCAGTGTCATCTGAAGAAATATCATATGCAAATAGTCAAATGGTTCTCGATTCTCCTCGGAGCAAAAACAACACTGTCCAAAACCAATCTCATGCTGTTAAACATTTTTTGGGGGGGATTATGATGGTATCCTAGCCAGCTTATGCACACCTCAACTATTCCACTGGGTACCTGTTACCTCCCACCACCAGCACATGTACTACGTAACTCTATCCTTCAAGGCTTAGGCAAATGAAAAGAAATCACCTAGGTTTTTATCTCTACTTGGGTATTTAACCGCTTCATTGACTGCTAGGCCATACCCTTGGATGCATTTCATGTTGTTAAACTTCTACGCATAGAACAAGAAGACTTGTTATTTATTTATTTATTTATTCATTTGTTTAATTTTATTTTTACGCAAAATTCTATCATTGTGATCCTAAATGCATTGAGCCTTGCCTATGACTTGTAACATAAGTTGCAGAAAGCTAATCTGATGTTGTAACTTTTGAGTAATAAATATAAAGCCTTCTGGTTTGCTTTAATATTTTCATAATAAGTATGCATTCAAGTATTCTTAAATCTAAATCATATCCCAAAACTGACGTGGAAACAATAAACAGAACCATTATTTAGAATAAAACAAGGATCATGCTATTGGGACAATGGCACAAAAAAATGGAAGTATTCCTCTGCAATGCAACTTGACTACTCCAATCTACATTAATAAACAACAATTATATTTCTGCAGGTTGTGTCAAATGAGAGTTAGCAATGACCATGCTACAAGAAATACGCCGCCATAGAGCAATGCGATAAGCTAAAGATTTACTGAGTACAAAGTTACAAGATGCTTTTCTTAGTCCTTCATTCTACATCTTCCCCCAGTAAGCTACTAACTGAAAAGGCTCTTCACAATGCATCTATCCTTCATCATGTAAAGTGAAAGGCAGTGCTCAAACTGTTGGAATTTCTTTTTGATAAGGATTTTTTTTATTGTTCTCTTTTTGATAAGGATTTTCTATCAATCACAGCATGTATTACCTAGTTGGAATAAAGAAATGAAACTGCTTGTTCAAGAGCTTACTGGAAAGGCTCTTCACAATGCATCTATCCTTCATCATGTAAAGTGAAAGGCAGTGCTCAAACTGTTGGAATTCCTTTTTGATAAGGATTTTTTTATTGTTCTCTTTTTGATAAGGACTTTCCAGTAAGCTCTTGGACAAGCAGTTTCATTTCTTTATTCCAACTAGGTAATACATGTTGTGATTGATAGAATAAGAAGGTCTAACAGAAGATAAACAAAGAAACTATTTAGTAAAAATTGCTTGAGCCATTTCGAACAAACAACACAGCTAAAGTAGTTTACCTGTGTACAGCAAAACAGACATGTAGGAAACATGTGAATTCACCTGTGTATTAGCAGAAGCAGGAGCATTGAAGTTCTGAGTTTGTGGCTGCTGAACAAAGCCAAAAGGATTTATCGGAGGCAACTGGCCTAGCAATTGCTGAGTTGCATTAGGCATCTGCTCAAACAACCCATTCATAGACTGCTGGACAGCTCCATTGCCATTTAAAAGACCCAATTGTGCATTCATAGCAAAGTTGGAAATTTGAGGCCCCATACCCTGACACACCTAGTTTGAACAATACCAGGGACAGACTTTAGCAAACATAACTAGGAAGAGGACTACAAGCAGGAATAGTAGTCCTCTTCCTCTATAAAGCAGCTACGCTCCATTTACATTAACAAACAATAATTATGTTCTGTAGAACATGTTAGACGAGAGTTACCAATGATCGAGCTGCAATAAATAATGTCGCCATTCAGCAAGGCTATAACTTAAGGCAGCATCCTTCACTAGCATAGAGTAAGATGACGTTTTTCCTAATCCTCCATTTTACATCTTTCCCCGACATGCTACTAACTTATGAGGCTCATCATTATCTATCTACTCTTAATCATATTGATTCTTACGTGAAAGTCAGGGTAAAATATATGGGATTTTCCAGCAGTACATACTGCAGTCAATAGAATAAGACGGTCTAAGGGAAGGTGACCAGGAACTATTTTGTGAAAATTAAACCACCACAAACAGACTTTGCAGTTAAACTAAAGCAGAACAGAATGCAGGAACCAAGTGAATTCACCTGTGTATTAGCAGAAGCAGGAGTATTGAAGTTCTGAGCTTGTGGCTGCTGAACAAAGCCAAAAGGATTCATCAGAGGTAATTGGCCTTGCAATTGCTGAGTCACGTTAGACATTTGCTTAGGAAAACCATTCTTAGACTGCTGGACAACTCCATTGGCATTCACAGGACCCATATGCGCATTCATAACAAAGTTGGAACTTTGAGGCCTCATACCCTGAGAAACCTGGTTTGAACAATAAGCAGAAACATTAGCAAACTTTGCTGGCTAAAACAAGCATCATATATGAGCACATCTAAAACAGGAATAATGTTCCTCTATAATGCAGCTTACTCCAATTCCCTTTAACAATAATTATTCTGAAAGATGATGCAATCCTTTACTAGTACAGAATAAGATCACGCAATTCTTAGTCCTCCATTTAACAGCTTTCCCTAGCATGTTACTAGCTAAGGAGGCCCATCACAATCTATCTATGCTTCATCATCTTAAGCAAATAGCAGCATACCACATATGGGATTTACCAGTAATACATATTGCACTCAATATATTAAGACGGTCTAAGAGAAGACAACCAAAAACACAATCTAGTAAAAGATTAAACCACATCAAACACAATATGCAGTTGAAGTACAGAAAAAAAAGAATTCAAGCACCAGGTGTATTCACCTGCAAATTAGCAGAAGCAGGAACACTGAAGTTCTGAGTTTGTGGCTGCTGAACAGTGCCAAAAGAGTTCATCAGTGGCGACTGCCCTTGCAATTGCCGAGTCGCATTAGCCATTTGCTTAGACAAATTTCCATTCATGGACTGCTGGACAGTTCCACTGGCATTCATAAGACCCAAATGCCCATTCATAGCAAAGTTAGGATTTTGAAGTCCAATACCCTGAGACACCTGATTTGGATACAACGGAACATTCCCAGGAACAAGCTGAGCAAAACCTGGCATTTGCATAGCCATTTGTAATTGGAGAAGCTGGTTCAAATTTTGCATTGCAACATTCTGGTTCAAGAATTGAGGTGGGTTAACAACATTTTGGGCCAATACTTGACCTTTTGGATGTTGAGAGTTAACATTATTCATCTGGTTCATTTGGAACGCGAAAAGCTGCTGAGGGGAAAATTGGGTATTTGAGTTGATGTTTGGAATTGCCATCTGAGGCTGAAGTTGCATAGGGTTTTGCATAAAGCTTCCTGGGTTACCCATAATCTGATGAAATTAATCAAGGAACCCATAATCAAACAACAAAAAAGCTAAGATTAAATTAAAGATACAAGAAAATTAAATGGATGAGAACCTGCAGGGGAGCTGAAGGTGCAATTCCATTGGTATGGAACTGAGAAGGGCGCTGAGGCCTTGGATTTTGACCAGGAAACATGGTTCTTTTGAAGAGGAAAGGTTATTGCCTGTGCATGTATAACACAGTGAGGGAGTCGGGGTTTTAGGACAGCTGAAGGCTCCAACTTTCTAGGGTTTTAGAGTTAACGAAAGGAAGTGAACTTTGTGACGTGGTTGTCGTTACTGTGAACCGGAGCATCCACCAAAAGCGAACCGTAAACCAGACCGGTCCAATAATGGGTGCACGCTCCTTTTTTCTCACATTTTAAAACTAATTTAAAATTCATCTTCCTATACACTAATATTATAATAAAATAATTTTGACTGACTATAACATTTTATTTAATTTTTCCCCCTAAGTTATCAAATTAGATTTAATATAAATAATTTTTGTTGTTGTAAATCACATTAGCTTGGTAGATTAAAAAAATATGTCCATACACCCCAATCAATATAAAAAAGTAAACTCATCTATAGATAACTTTTCGCATAACAAAAAATCAATCTTTATTTTTATTCCCATTTCAATGCTCTACTATTTATTCATTTTCATAATCTCTTTTTGATAATTACAATTGTGTATTTAAATATCAACACCTAATTGTTTTATATATCATTAATTTGATGTTGGCATCTTATATGTCATTTATTATTATTATTATTATTGGATACATGCTACTTCCAATAAACACATGTACCAAATAATTTTGATTACCAAGGATTGATTTTTCATTCATTTTATTGACCATTAGACCCTATTCTTAAGTGCTTTGTCATTTTATTCACAATTATCAATTATTATATATATTTTGTTTAAATATTATTTTATTTGTTCATTTTAGTTATAAATGATATCAAAATTATTGCCATTATTTTTAAGTAATGATGAGAAATTATTCTATTTATTCCAATTTGTTTGTCATTATTTGACTCTACATAAAATTTAAGATTTTTTTTGGACTTATGATTTTAATATTTGTATGGTTGTGAAACTTTTAAAAGGTATAATTTTAAGTATACCATAATATTATATGGCTACTATAAAAATATAACATTCTATTTTTTTAATAAGCTAATGAGGAAATTGTATAAACAAAGGGAGTACAATTTTTAACATGGCGTAAAGTTGACTTTGAACAAAAAAGGAAAACATTTTCTAAAAAACTTTTTTTATTACTGAACCAATTCCGAGTTCGGAAGCAAACGACCAAAGTGAATTTGATATCTGAGTTCAAGTTTATAGTTTATTCAGTTTGCCAGTATGGCGGGGAATTGGCTACCGGCGGCACAGCTAACCGGAAGTGGGCGGCCGGTGCTTGAACCAGGCGAGGTAGAGTGCAGCCTTCTCTCCTCCGTAGACCTCCTTTCTGAAGAAAACCCAAACTTCCCTCACCTTAAATCGGGCCTCCTCATTCTCACAACTCATCGTCTTATTTGGGTACAAGAATCATCCACCACCTCCCCTCCTACTGCCGTATTCATCCCTCTTTCAGCCGTCACTCACATCTTCTCCCTCAAAAAATCCATCAAGTCAATGTTTGCAAGCCCTAGATTCCGATTTCAGGCTTCACTTAAAGGGATGATGGTCGTAATTACTTTGATTCTTAGGGGTAAATCGGACATTGACTCGTTCTTGGAGAAGTTTTGGGAAGCATGGAGAAGGAAAGCTTGGGAAGATGGGGTAGTAAAATCTGGGCCGGAGGTTTCGGGTTCGGGTCATGGGTCAGGTGGTGATGGAGGATTCGCGGTGAGGATGCCGGTTGTTGGTGTAGCTGGGATATTGAGGAAAGAGCAGGAGATGTGGGAGAATACTGATAAGAGCTTGCAGGATGCTTTTCAGGATTTGAATGCTCTCATGGTATGCCAAAGTTCATGTCATTTTATGTTATTCAGTTATTTTATGTGTTGATTTCAGTGATTTTGTGGATATGTAATAAATGGGTGCGATAAATTTCGTATTAGCTTTAACACGCTCTTGTCTTGGCACGAATAGAACTTCCCTTATTTAGTTTTCTGATATGTAAAGCACTAAAGGAGCTTCTAGTGTTTACAAGTTGGAACATATGCCATTTAGTTTCTGAAATGAAGTGTGAAAGAGTTCGTCTGTGTATAATTTGGTTTCAATTATAATAAGAGTGGTAGATAAGTTAAGTTTGTTACGTGCGCATCTCTCCACTATCAGTTGATATCCACTATCAGTTGATATAATTCTCATACACAGGGTAAGGCTAAAGAAATGGTGATGCTAGCTGAGAGAATGAGAACGAAGCTTCTCTCTGGCTCAACTAGTCAGGCCACTGGCACAAATGATGAGGAAATTGGCACCAAAGAAGAGATGCAAGAATTACTATTAAGTGTTGGTATTGTGTCTCCAGTTACTAAAGAATCTGCTGGTGCTTTGTATCATCAACAATTATCTCGGCAGGTATTTCTTCCTAGTAGCTATACTAGTAAGTGTATCCAGTTTTACGAGCTAGCCTTGATTGTAATCGCAACTAAAGGTGGACACCAATCTTCACAAGCACATATGAGGCATGGGTAGAAGAAAGCAGACTTATCAGTTTCATAATTTCTTTATTATTCTTGTCAAGGAAATGTAATATTTCTAATTGGCTTGTAATCTTGCAAATATTTGCTTTTCAGTAAATTTGCAAAATAATAATAATATGTTGGTACTTAGTTGGCAGATTTTGTCAAAATTCCACTGGAGAGATCGGGAGGAATGATTAATCTCATTGACATCTATTGCCTTTTCAATCGGGCTCGTGGAACAGGTAATCCTGTAAACTTTTTCCTTTTCCATTTTTTTTATAACCGTGGTGTCCGGTCCAGCTTGTGTGCACTCGACCTATTGGATAATAAGTCTTCAACTCAAAAGTCTGTCACTTTAGTTTCTTCTTCATTCTTTTGGTAGTATCATTACAGGCTGTTATAACTTTATTGTTGCGATTTTACAGAATTGATATCACCCGACGATTTGCTGCGTGCTTGTTCTCTCTGGGAGAAGTTTGACGTGTATGCCTCCCTTTTTTCCCTACACACACCCGTGCTGCAGGAACACACGTGCACACACATATTCCCTCTTTATATATATACATATATATANTTCATCCTTGAACTAGTTCTTAACCATAGGGTAAATGTAACTTGGGGTTCATCTCGACTACTTGCTTGCATTAAAGAAAAAGGAAATAACATTTTACTTCTACAGACCAGTTATGCTTCGGAAGTTTGATAGTGATGTCATGGTCATCCAGAGCAAAAGCCACAGTGATGATGAGGTAAAACTTTCATATTGGCTTCACTTGAGCATCTCCTTTCTGCCAATACAGTTCTTGCTTTCTCTGGTCTTCTCTAATCTCTCTTACTACTACCTATTGCGTTTCTTGAACTTAATGTAAGAGTCCATAGTCTTCTAAGTAATTCACTGCCATTGTCCTCCCTCTGTTTTTTGGTCATACCGAGTTCTTGTGATTGTATCTGTCATCAATTATTCTCTCTCAAGTAGTAGATTTCTGGTTGTATTCATGATGCAACTTATAGATATTTAATCCATAGTCAAAGTAGAAATGATATACAAGTGATTGCTGAAGGAGACTATTATACTGAATAGGTAAACAGGTCTTGTTTAACCTATTAGACTGATAGGGTGTCGGGAGTGTTGAGTTATATAATAGTATAACATAACGGTAATAATGGCATTTAGAGAGGAATTTATAGGTCTTGGGACACTCTATGCATTGCTTTAAGGCTATCGGTTTGATACTTAGATTCTAGATTCTTTCTGATGGTATTGAAGACCTAACAATCTTGATAGAGATATAAGTGGCTACTTCCTACTGATGGACATCCTTGTGCTGCCTGTCAAAAGCCATCTTCCAGGCCAATAGTCTTCATAAGTTTATAATTCTTGTCCTTTCTTTCTGGTGACCATTCCAGCAGCACCTCTCGTGTTTGTCAGTATCTGCTCAGCTGGCATGATGCCTCCTCCCCTGACCATTCTGCGGCACCAACCTTTTCTCAGTGGTCATTCGTACGGCACTGTTTCTTCTGGCCACTATGCTGGCTGTTCTGAAACCTAGTCCCCGGAACCTTTCTCTTCTTTCATTGTGGTATCATAGACAACCTTAAAAAATTCAAACTCACATTTGTAAGTCCATATCCTATTACATGTGTGAACCCCAAAGTTTGGAGGATCTTAAATTATATAATGTCCAATGGCATCTAATGGGGTACGAGAAGGTCTTAGACCATTCTACATTGGACAGACAGCCAGCAAGAGGACGATTTAAGGAAATAATTGCTCAACCAGGAAAAAATAAGTTACTTAGCAATCTCAAGAAGTAGTTAGTTATTCATAACGTAGGACACGGTTTTGACATCACTATATGATCACTTATGTCAGACTGAGATCCATAGTTTGATGACGACTTTTCATGCTTTAAAGGACTCCTAAATGAATTCCAAGAGTACCTCTCCTTAACATAACTAAGAGCACAACTACAAAATAGACTTTTTAACTGTCGTTTGAATTTTTGAAATCTGTCCTTTTTCAGTTTCCTGTTAAATAGACCTGGTGTACAATATTTGTTTCTATGCCCTTAATGCCCACAATTCTGCTATTAACTGCAGGTATTTACTAGAATAAGATCTTTGGTTACTACACCGGACACTTTACGAGCAGGTATCACTGCTAGTGATGCTGCAATGACTCTGGGAATTGCTCCAGCTATGGCCAAAGAGCACCTTCTTGCAGCCGAGGCCAAAGGTATGTTCTGCAGATTTTAATTCTTAACTCATAGAAAGCGGTGCTTAAGTTGTGATCATATGTTGCAGGACTTCTGTGTAGAGATGTTAGTCCAGATGGATTCCGCTTTTTCGTCAATTTGTTGCAAGAAATTGATGCTGATGATATATTCTTGTAAGTGACTTACAGATGCAAACTGTTCTAGTCGACACATATAATGTTGGTGTTACATCTGTTGGGGATGTAGTTAGGCCCTTTTTTTGTTTGGGCCTTGATTAGAGCTATCCTTAATTACATTATATATGAATGGGGCTGCCCACTAATCAAGATTTTGTTTTACTAGAGTGCTTTTTGTTCATTGTCTGGGCACCGAAAAGTTTCGGGACCGCTATGGGATTCCATCTT